GCGTGGGAGGGCGCCAACCGTACACTGACGCCGATCCTGGGCGGGCCGATCCTGCGCCCCAGATCGGTGTACATGCAGGCCTCCTCAGCTGAGCCAGGGCGGCGCGCCTTGGGATCTGCCGGTGTGATGTCTTTCAGTCCGCGGCCCCAGCGGTTCCGACCGTTTCCCCAGGGATGGCTTCTCGCTTTGGACGCATACGGCCCTCGAGGGCCGAGATCGAGGACACAACGCCAGTTGACAAACATCAGACTGTGTGTGTGTCTTTGTGTATATGTATGTAGGCATACATGCATGCGTGCATGCATGTATGTAAACATGTCTGTATGTGTGCATGCATGTATGCATGCATGCATGTATGTATGTATGTATGCATGCATGCATGTATGTATGTATGTATGCATGTATGCATGTATGTATGTATGTATGTATGTTTGTCTGTATGTGTGTATGTATGTATGTATGCATGCATGCATGCATGCATGTGTGTATGTATGTATGTATGTATGTATGTATGTATGTATGTATGTATGTATGTATGTATGTGTGTATGTATGTATGTATGTATGTGTGTATGTATGGGTGTATGTCTGTATGGATGTAGGTAGGTGATAATGCATGTGTGTGTTGTATGCACGTGTGTAGATGCAAGCATGTATGTCTGTACATATGCATGCATGCATGTATGTGTGTGTGCATGTATGCACGTATGTGTGTATGTATGTACGCATATATGCAGGTATGTATGTATGTATCTATGTATCTACGTATGTATGCATGTGTGTATGCATGTATGCATGCATGCATGTATGTATGCATGCATGTGTGTATGTATGCATGTATGTATGCATGCATGAATGTAATGTATGTATGCATGTAGTGTAATGTAATGTAATGTAGTGTAATGTAATGTATTGTAATGTAATGTAGTGTAATGGGGTCTAATGTAATGTTGTGTAACGTTATGTAATGTAATGTAATGTAGTGTAATATAATGTAATGTAATGTAGTGTAATGTAATGTATTGTAATGTAATGTAGTGTAATGTAATGTAATGCCTGTAATGTAATGTAATATATTGTAATGTAATGCCATTTAATGTAATGTAATGTAGTGTAATGTAATGTAATGCAATGTAATGTAATGTAGTGTAATGTAATGCAATGCGATGTAATGTAATGTAATGTAATGTAATGTAATGTAATGTAATGTAATGCAATGCGTGTATGCTTGTGTGCGTGTCCGTAAATATTGCTATACGTGTCTATATATACACATAGCACCCGCCCCCCAGTTGCGGATACGAGTGATGGGGGCGGCGAGGGCGTCCGCAGTCTGCGAGGCTCTGAAGAAGCCCGCCGCATGCGCATAGCTTGCACACATTATACAACTAGTTTGCCGCAGGCGCTTATTTTTTCGCTCAAACAATGGGTGGGTCGCGGGGTGGGTCTCGGGTGGGTCGCGGGTTGGTCGCGGGTGGGTCGCGGGTGGGTCGCGGTTGGGTCGCGGGCGGGTCGCGGGCCGGGTCGCGGTTGGGTCGCGGGTGGGTCGCCGGTGGGTCGCGCGCGGGTGGGTCGAAGGTGGATCGCAAACCTGTCGAGCGGTAGGTCGCAGGTAAGTCGCGGGTGGGTCGCGGGCCGGGTCGTTGGTGGGTCGCGGGTGGGTCGCGGGTGGGTCGAGGGCTGGGTCACGGGGGGGACGACAACAAACATCAACAAATAGCAAATTACCCCAGTGCGACCCTACCTAGAAGTTGGAGCCCCTAGGAAAGCAGCATTAGTTGCTATGCTATGCTATGCTATGCCACGCTATGCTGCGCTATGCAATGCTATGCTATGTTATGCTGCGCTATGCTATGCTATGCAATGCTATGCTATGCAATGCTAAACTATGCTATGTCATGCTGCGCTGTGCTATGGTAAGCTATGCTATGCTATGCTATGTTAAACTGCGCTATGCTATGCTATGCTATGCTATGATATGCTGTGCTATGCTATGCTACACTATGATATGCGATGCTATGCTGCGCTATGCTATGCTATGCTATGCTATGCCATGCCATGCTATGCTATGCTATGCTATGCTATGCTGCGCGGTGCTATGCTGTGCTGTGCTGTGCTGTGCTGCGCTAGGCTAGGCTATGCTATGCTATGCTATGCTGCGCTATGCTGTGCTATGCTGGGCTTTGCTATGATATGCTGTGCTGCGCTGTGCTGTGCTACGCTCTACTATGCTGTGCTCTGCTATGCTAAAGCTCGGCGAAGCTAAGATGAAGGTAAGCTAAGCTAAGATAAACCTGAGCTAAGACGAAACTAAGCTAAGCTACGATGAGATAAGCTAAGCTAAGATGAGATAAGCAACGCTAAGCTAAGGGAACGTCACTGGGGGAACCGCGGGGCGGATCCTGGGGGAACCGCCCGGGGCGGTTTACACTGCCCGGCCCCTTTAAGCTAACACAGTAAGAACCCTTCTAGGCAGAGCCTAGGTAGGGAATTATCCCAGTGCGACCCTACCTAGGAGTTGGAGCCTCTAAGTACACATATATATATATATACCAGCAGCAATGATGGATCCTGTGCTGCGCTATGCTATGCTCTGCTATGCTCTGCTCTGCTCTGCTATACTATGCTATGCTATGCTGCGCAATGCTATGCTGGGCTAGGCTAGGCTAGGCTAGGCTAGGCTATGCTATGCTATGCTGCGCTATGCTATGCTGCGCTATGCTATGCTATGCTATGCTGTGCTATGCTATGCTATGCTTTTGCTTTGCCTTCGCTTTTGCCTTCACGTTTGCCTTTGCTTTGGCTTTTGCTTGGCACCCAGGGGGCGCAACTGGGGGAACCGCGCGTTTGCTTTTACCTTTGCTGTTGCTTTTGCTTGGCTCCCAGGGGACTGGGGGAACCGCCCGGGGCGGTTTGCACTGCCCGGCCCCTTTAAACCAAGCGAGTAAGAACCCTTCTAGGCAGAGCCTAGGTAGGGAACAATACAAACAAGTATTTCTATATAGAGCAGCAGCAATAGTGGATGCTGTGCTGCGCGATGCGATGCGATGCTATGCTCTGCTCTGCTCTGCTCTGCTCTGCTCTGCTATGCTATGCTATGCTATGCTGCGCAATGTCATGCTGGGCTAGGCTAGGCTATGCTATGCTATGCTATGCTGCGCTATGCTATGCTGCGCTAATGCTATGCTATGCTATGCTATGCTATGCTTTTGCTTTTGCTTTGCCTTCGCTTTTGCCTTCACGTTTGCCTTTGCTTTTGCTTTTGCTTTGCACCCAGGGAGCGCAACTGGGGGAACCGCGCGTTTGCTTTTACCTTTGCTGTTGCTTTTGCTTGGCTGCCAGGGGACCGGGGGAACCGCCCGGGGCGGGTTCCACTGCCCGGCCCTTTAAGCCAAGCGAGTAAGAACCCTTCTAGGCAGAGCCTAGGTAGGTAACAACAGCAATCCGCACCGCAGAACCTCACTTCAGCCACGCGCCCAGAGACTGTGCATGACCGTTCGGCCCCCTCACTTTGATATGTAATGGCCTTCGGCCCATCCCACCACTGTGCCTGGGTTGCGATCTCGTGGGAGGCCTCTCGGGGCCGCTTTGGGGCAGTTTGAACGCCTCGTCGGGGCCGCTTTGGGGCCTCTAGGGGCCTCCTTTGGGCCTCTTGGGGGCCTTTTGGGTCTTTGTGTGGGGCGGGAGGCTTGGATTTTCGGTTCGTGTTCTCTCTCTTGGGTTCCTTTTTGGGCCGTCTTGGGCCGTCTTGGGCGCCTCTTGGGCCGTCTTGGGGCCCTCGTGGGCCGTTTTGGGGCCCTCTTGAAGGCCTCTTGGGCCGTCTTGGGGCGCTCTAGGGTCGTCTGGGGGCGTCGGGAAGCAGAACAATCGAGAAAGCCAAGCAACTGCAAAAACCTTAGGAAAGACAATGATTTTGGCATCTTGGGGCCCTCTTGGGAGGCCTCTCGGAGGCCTCTTGGGGCGTCGTGGGGGCCTTTTGGGCCGTCTGGGGGCCATCTTGAGCGTCTTGGAGAGATCGTTCGGCGACTCGGGGCCCTCTTGGACCGTTCCGGGGGCCCTCTTGTCCCATCTTGGGGCCCTCTTGGGGCCCTCCTGCGGCAGGAAAAGTTATGCGACAAGCCTCGGGGGAGCCCAGAGGTCACGCTGGAAGCCCCAGGAGATTTCGGAAATTGGGGCCCACGCGCGCACGCGCACGTGCGCACGCGCGCACAGGCGCGCACGCGCACACGCGCACACGCTCACACGCGCACACGCGCACATGCGCACACGCGCACATGCGCACACGCGCACACGCCCACACGCGCACGCGCACACGCGCACGCGTGCACACGCACACACGCACACACGCACACACGCACACACTCACACACGCACACACGCACACACGCAACCACGCACACACGCAAACACGCACACACGGACACACGCACACTGACACACACGCACGCACACACACGCATACAATCGCACACACACAAGACACACACACAACGCACACAACACACAACCCAGAACACACAGCCCACAACACAAGGCACAACGCACATCACATACCACACACCACACAGCACACAGCACACAACCCACAACACGCAACACGCAACACGCAACGCGCAACACACAACACGCAACACACAACACGCACAACGCAACAGGTCACACGCAACACGCAACACGCACCACGCATCACGCACCACGCAATACGCACCACGCAACACGCAACACGCAACACGCAGTGCGCGACATGCAACACGCAATACGCAACACGCAATACGCAACATGCAACACGCAACACGCAACACGCAACACGCAACACGCAACACACAACACACAACACGCAACACGCAACACGTAGCAAGCAACACGCAACACACAAGACTCAACATGCAACACGCAACACGCAACACGCAACACGCCCCACGCACCACGCACCTCGCAACACGCAACAAGCAGCACGCAGCACGCAGAACGCAACACGCAACATGCAACACGCAACATGCA